CCAGGAACGGCCAGATGATCAGTTCTGCGTGCAGTAGACAAACAGAGTAATGGCTGAGACTACATCTCCCACAACTCACGATGGGTGAGTGTGGCTCTTGACAGAAAACCCAGGTAGCATCTTGATCTTCATACACAGGACCAAGGGACTCTGCCACATCTTGAAAATGTGCTCGGATGTGGAGAGCTGTGTGGAGCCGCACCTTGAAAATGGCGCTGGCTTCCGCCTTTCGGCTATCCCGAAGGTGAGTGCTCTCTGGGGTAAACAACCCCATATTTGGAGATGGTCAGGCTCTTGCTTTTCTCACCCGATGATCGCAAGATGCTTGCGTGTGTGTGTGTGTGTGTGTGTGTGTGTGTGTACCTATGGACAGTGCCTACGTGGCAATCCAGGGTTGGCGGCCCAGGCCTACTTAAGGGCTAAGAGGGGCTTGCCCTGTGAGAGAAACGAGAGAGAAGCGAGAGAAGAAGAGAAGCGATTTGTAAAAGGTCCTGAATAAAAACTGCTTGCAAGAAGAGTTCCGGTGTCACGTCGTCCTTGCTGGTCGAGGTGGCAGCGACACTCGGATATTTGCCCAGCTGCCCAATTCAAATAAACTCGGTAACATGGTTAGCTTTCCTGGTACTGGGAGTTCAGAGTCCACTTGTCTGGCTGGCTCTGATGCTGGTGAACACCCTCCTTGGAAGGCTGTCTGCCTCGTGGAAGAGACACATTCCCTCCTTCGCACTTGAACATTTACATCTCAGGACACAGGGTCTCTGCTGGCATGGGCTACCACAGGCTTTTTGATGATTCTCTCGAAGAACACTTGTTCTCTCTTTCCCAGGTCAGAAAGCGTGGGAAGGAGGCCCACCCACGATGGGAACCACAGCCAGTTCGATGGCCCACCTCACTGAGTACTAAGCACTTAGCTTGGACCATAAACCCTCAGAGATGCCTTAAGCAGCATTCCCCAAGCCGACATCCCTCTCAGAGCCATGCAGAGATGTGAATAAGGCAGCACCATCCACACAGCAGCAGGTTCACAAGCATGAATGATGGAAGAGCTCCAGAGCCATGGGAAGGCTTTCCCCAAGCTCCTAGAAAACTTCTAAG